AGGTTGACCTATCCTTTGCCATCACTTGCACTCACCTCATATCCACATTATCATTTTAATCTCATTCTCATCTCCACATATTTTTTTTTATGTGGGTATTTATTAAGCCTTATTCATGCTTATTTTACTAATAGATGTTTGTGACATAAAATGATTGAATTGATTATGATTGTTCTGGGACTTGTCCGTTTTATTCTTCTTCAGCTATCATTTCCTTTATGTCTGTTCCAGCAAGAGTTACAAACATCACTGTTCTATTATACATACAGTAGAACCTCAGGATGCGAGGATACCTGGATATAAGTTTGTCAGTACGAGGTCGCTGTCCAGTTTTTTCCCCAGAATACAAGGTGAAAACTAGGATGTGAGCTGGAGAGATGATAACTCTCAGCATTACCTGGCAGCATCTCAACAACTTTTAAATGGATTAGGTCATGATTCTTAATAGTCTTTTGCCATGATACAGAGGTTTGTCAGCACATGGGCCAGTCAACAAGGCCCTGGATGATGATGGACTGCAGCATTATGGTTGAAAATAATCCAATTTTACCACTGCCGGCAACAAGAAAAGAGCGGTACCATATATTTTCCCCTTCAACAAAATGCAAAACATCATTATGGAACGAATGAAAATTATTGACATTAATTTTAATTAGAAAAATACTTTCAGGATACAACTTATTCATCAAAGGAGCTCAGTCAAGGAACAGATTAAATTAGTATCTTGTGGTTCCGCTGTAATATACATATATTTATATTTGTGTATATATTATATGTGTGTATGTATGTATGTATATATATATATATATATATATATATATATATATATATATATATATATATATATATATATATATATATATATATATATATATATATATATATACATATATATGTATATACACACACACACACATGAAAAATAGTTTAATGTCTATCATTTGTTTTAAAAAAATTATAGACATTTACTTTTACACATTTCTTTCTTTCAGTTATCTGGTAGAGCTGCAGTTTTTAAAATATTCCAAAATAGTCTGCTTTCATTATCTGGGGGTAGGTTTCTCTCAATGATTTATCCAAAATAGTGTGCTTTCATTATCTGAGGGGTGAGTTTTTCTCTATACTTAATCTAAAATAGTGTGCTTTCATTATCTGAGGAGCAGGTTTCTCTCTATACTTCCTCTAAAATAGTGTTCTTTCATTATCTGAGGGGTAGGTTTCTCTCTATGCTTCATCCAAAATAGTATGCTTTCATTATCTTGGGTGGTCTTGCTTTACTTTGCAAGAACAGACCTGTAATGTATTCCAGAAGTACAATACTATAGAACATTATTTGCTGGAGTGTAGGAAATACGAAAACCAAAGGAAACCATTAACAAACTACGCCAATCTGTGTAAATTACCTGTGACGATAGAAAACTTGCTGCACATAAACAGCCACAGGCAGCTGTTCGGCAGAGTCAAGCAGTTTATGACTATAACTAAAATCCATATTTAGAAGAGTGAAGAATGCCTATGGCGTCTTTAAAGAAGTTTCCCCTACAGATAAAATTGAGGCCAATAATCAGTGACTGCACACTAAGGAAACGATATATTCACCATGTTAATGACTCAGTGTTAAAAGATTGTCTAATTATTCATAGTACAATTTCTATCATAATCACATCCCAAATCAAAGCAAAATGTGAAACAATACAAATTATTCTTAGTCATATAAATAATTACAAGATCCATAAATTTAAAATAACAAATATATACTCTGTGAACTCGATTATCACTGTATATCCCAATTATAACCCAGAGGGTTGAGCAGGATATTTTTGAAGAACTACTACTACTGCTGCCGCTGCTGCTACTACTTATCTGGGTGTGGGTTTTTCTCTAGACTAACTCTATCCACAACTATTGGAACCATACCCATCGTTAAATTTATTGAGAAGCAAAGAATGAAATGGTTTGGTCACCTAATGAGAATGGAACCAATGATGCCAGCATCAAGGCATACAACATGAAAATCAAAACACCAAGAGGCAGGGGAAAACCAAGAAGAAGATGGATTGAAGGAGTCACGGACAACTTGAGACTTCATAACATCACGGCATATGAAGCGACTGAGCGCGCCCTGGCTCGGTTGCCGATCATCTGATAGACTGCGACGCCTAGCGGCACAAGCAGATTTTGACAAAAGAAGAAGAAGAAGAAGAAGAACTCTATCCACAATAAAAGTTGCATCTACTAATATGTTTCTCTCTAGGCTTACCACGTCATTAGTAGTTGACCATCTCTGGGTGTGGCATGATGTCTCTTTAGACAGACTCTATATAAAGTTATGAGCTCTCTCTGCCTGCTACTGCCTACTACTTGCTCCCTTGGCCTAATATTTTCCCTCTGTGTTTATTTTGTAAGAGCATTTTTTTTTTTTCATCCACCGGCTGTAAATTTTGAGGGAAAGTTCTGGTTGTGTGTCTACTACTGGACTTTAGTCTTGTTCTATATGTCCGTATGTCTCTTAGCCTCTTTTACTGAAGCCTACCTCATCCACCAGCGATGCAAACTGTTTGTTCTCTCTAGTAATCCAGTGGCATGTTATTTCAGTCTGACCTCTTCCACCAGTGATGCAAACTGTTCTCTCTAGTATTCCAGTAGCATGTTATTTCAGTCTGACCTCTTCCACCAGTGATGCAAACTGTTCTCTCTAGTATTCCAGTAGCATGTTGGAGTTTCAGTCTGCAATGGGGAAACTAGATAAGACAGCCACCAAGGTTAATGTGAAATCATTATCCAAGCCAGTTGAAACAGTGATGAATCCACTCTCTCTCTGAAGAAATCCTAAAGTCAGCAAAACCAAGCTAGAAGGAAAATAAAAATAAACAATAGTATGATGCAGCTCACTCTGTTCTGGATAGCATGAAATACACAAATGGAACTTATGGCAGAACTCCAAAAGATGCCTAATTCTATCCTAACTTATCTGTTGGTATAAACATCAGGGATGCAATCACAAGGTGAAGAAGAAAGCATCGTGCACATTTTGCGACAGATGCCAGTTTAATTACATCTGTATGTTTTGCTTGTCTTTCAGCCCAGATGGTGCCTTTGTTCATCAAGACACAAGGGACCTAATGACTATGTGGTATAGAACTGTTGGCCTTGGCGCTGCTGTCAGCGTCGCCTTAGCTTACTTCCAGCAGCGCTCAGAGAAACAAAAACTAATCACAAATATGCAGCCTTTATTACAAGGAAGTTTTGTAAGAATGCATTCACATTTAACCTACGTGTATTTGCATGCATTTCATATAATATATATAAATATATGTCATTTATGATATCACAATGTCTGGTTTGAGAATGGAGGTGGAGGTAGTTGCTGCTGCCTTCCACTAGCTTGTGAATAAGCTGTACACACATGCCGTGACTGTCACTGACTCACAGAGCATTTTGAGAAAGGTGGAGACAGGTATGTTCCGTGCAGAGTGGCAAGAATCACTTCAAAGGTCCCGGTAGTTAGCATCCTTTGGATATTCTTTCCAGGTCATGCCGATGTGTTGGGAAATGAGTAGGCAGATAGACTGACCTGTTCTGCCCCACAAGGTGGTGAATTGATGTATGACAAGCTGGATGTTGTGAGGGCTCTTTGGGAGCGAGTGAACAGTGCAGAAGCGCAAATAGATCATTACGGTCTGAGGAGAATGGTGGTGTGAGGAGTTACCAGGGGATCTGACCGACGCTTAACACTGAAGGGATATGCGAGACAGATATACAATCGGAATTGGAACTCTTCATTTGCTGCTGAAGATGGGAACGGAGCGCTTATGGGGTTGTCCCGAGTACTGTGATGTCGATTCTTAATTCAACATTAATATAAAAGTTAGTGAATGAATTAAATAAATGAAGATTTGACATCATTGCATTCAGGGCATTCCCACATCTGCTCCGTCCCTCTTCCCCAGTATCCATGAGGAGTTTGCATGCTGGGGGTGCCAGCTGCGACCAGATTAAAAGTCCACCTATCTTTTTCTCTACATATTAAAAACTGTTCAAATCCTCTGTTAACATAACACAACCTTTGACCAATTAGTGTTATGGAAGTGTACTGATGGAAGCTCTAGCACATAAAACCTGCCATCTTTCTCTGTCTTCTGCTTGATGATTAAGTGTATGATAACTTAGTCCTGTCCATTTCTTGATTTTGTCATTCCAGTTTCTTCTTTGCCCTCCTCTTCTTCAACTACCCTCTAGTGTTCCTTGAAGCACAGTATTTGCAATTGAATCATGTCTCACTACGTGCCCAAACCAAACTAGTTTGTGACATTTCAGCACAGCCAAGAGAGACTCATGATGTTTTGTAAATTTGTATATTTTATCTCTGACATATTTATTTCTTTTGTGTTCTAAATAACTAATTCGTAAAATGGATCTTTAGCATTTACATGCCCCTGTTAACTTGGAGCTGAATCAGTCTCTCGAGGTATAGATGCTCTGTCCATTTTCTGCGCTGATCACTTTATCTCAGAGAGCCTGCACCACATCATAAAATATCCACCTGTCCAGAGGAGCAGCAGCCAGCAGCTCACCGCCCTGAGGAGCGGCAACAGATAATCTGTCAAATTGCTGATTACCCCACAGCATTTCCTGGGCAGAAAAATCCATGTTGTGTAACTTTAGTTGGTGCGTGATATACTAACAATTCCCCTACCCACCAGGGTATTTTCCGTAACTGAATTATTTTTTAAAAATTAGCTTATGTGAGTTGCAAGATGATAAATGAATAATCAAAGTATGTGTTCCTCTTTCTGATTTTCTTCTGCAACTACCTACAGTTTGATCCCTTTGATCGTTCAGCCCAGTACCACTCACTTTGCGAACCTGCAGTCTAGATTCTCTATGCTTAATAAAACATTTCAAAGAAGCATACTTTACAATGACTGAACCATTTTTTAACATAGACAAGATAATTAACACAATTTTGCACAAGTCAGTACTTTTATACCTATTTTCAGAAGAAACAATTACGCTGGAAGAGCATTCTGGCAGAATCTGGGAAAAATACTCTGAAATATGCTGTGGCCACAGGCTTTATTATGTAAGTATTCATCCTAATCAAGTGCCATGCCGGTAAGCAAAGGCTGTCTTATTTCACTACCTCTCATGATCAGAACCACGGATCAGGCTAGTGTTGTTGTCTCACCCTATCTACGCGGCTAAGCCATTCAGGTGTAAGTTGTGAAATCATGACCATTCTAAGCATCTTTAAGAAGGAAGTTTGCCATTGCTTTTCCTTGTGTCGGGTGACCGTAGCCGGTGTCACTATAGTGTCATCAGCCTATCATCAGGGATTTTGAGACTTTGACCAGCAACTAACTGTCGGCTGCTCAGTCACAATCCACCATCTGCTTACATAGATTCACATTACCCTTACGGTGTTGTCGGGGGCAGTGAGGCGCAATCCACCATCTGCTTACATAGATTCACATTACCCTTACGGTGTTGTTGGGGGCAGGGAGGCGCAATCCACCATCTGCTTACATAGATTCACATTACCCTTACGGTGTTGTTGGGGGCAGGGAGGCACAATCCACCATCTGCTTACATAGATTCACATTACCCTTACGGTGTTGTTGGGGGCAGGGAGGCGCAATCCACCATCTGCTTACATAGATTCACATTACCCTTACGGTGTTGTTGGGGGCAGGGAGGCGCAATCCACCATCTGCTTACATAGATTCACGTTACCCTTACGGTGTTGTTGGGGGCAGGGAGGCGCAATCCACCATCTGCTTACATAGATTCACGTTACCCTTACGGTGTTGTTGGGGGCAGGGAGGCGCAATCCACCATCTGCTTACATAGATTCACGTTACCCTTACGGTGTTGTTGGGGGCAGGGAGGCGCAATCCACCATCTGCTTACATAGATTCACGTTACCCTTACGGTGTTGTTGGGGGCAGGGAGGCGGGTGCTAAACATTTACTCCATACGGCCCAAGAGTGTCTGTAGTCTATGGCAGGGAAGGAGGTGCCCTTGTCTTTGATAAAGGATACCCATACCCCAATACAGTCGAGTCTGGATAAGTAAAAGTCGCAGGGACCTAAGAAAATGCTTTCACTTATCAGGATTTCTACTTATCCAGGCAGCACACACAATAGAGAAAATTGACGGGACTAAGCTGGTCATGTCGACTTAACCAAAATTCGACTTATCCTAGTTCGACTTAAGTGGACTCGACTGTACCTCTGATGTAAGCATAATTGCAGCCATTTATCACATTTCAGCAACATAATTGTAGTCACTTATCACTTTTCAACAACAAATTTGCAGCCGTTTATCACTTTTCAACAACACAGTTGCAGCCATTTACCACTTTTCAGCAACATAATTTCAGCCATTTATCACTTTTTAACTCTTTAAGTCCCAAGGAACGCATCATACGTTCATAGATTCCTACCTAGAGGCCCAATGAACGCATGATGTGCAGATTTTACGTCTCTCTCAACCCTCCTTGGGCCTGTGATGTTGAATCCCCTGGGACTCGAAGAGTTAACAGCATAGTTGCAGCCATTTATCACTTTTCAACAACATAACTGTAGCCATTTATCACTTTTCAACAACATAACTGTAGCCATTTATCACTTTTCAACAACATAATTGTAGCCATTTATCACTTTTCAACAACATAATTGCAGCCATTTATCACTTTTCAACAACATAACTGTAGCCACATTGCTTTTCAGCAAAATTATTTCAGCCATATACCATTATTTCAATAAATAATTGGTTTAGCCTTTACCTCTATTTCAACTAAATTGCTTCAAATGATTATGGGGTACCCCAAAGGTTTCATCAAACGTCACTGCACCCCATCCAACCCTACGCCGAACGAAATTACAGTATCCAAACTACGAGTATTTATCCAACTGGATTATCGAGGTAATGACGTCATGCAGCGTCTGCAGGACCGACTGAAAACAGCAGTTGGCCAAACATTCTTTGCGGCTGTTCCAGTAGTGAGGTACAAGTGCACACCTGTCCAAACCCCACCTACTAAACAGCTCCTTTCTCCGTACACCAAATCTAATTGTATTTACCAATTTATATGTAAGTACCAGTTGACTTACATCGGTCAAACGAAGAGACAGCTTGGAAATAGAGTGGCATAACACATACCCAAATGGCTACATACACAGTTCAGGGATTCTTCAAGGGTGTCAAGACCAGTCAAGAGGAAAGAACCCACTTCTTCAATAGGACGTCATCTACTTAATTCCGGACACGTAATTGGCACAGACACTGCTTTCTGTGTTGTTTACCACACTCCGAACAGGAGACTGTTGAGAATCGCTGAAGCTTTAACAATTAAAATCAACAACCCCCTTCTTTGTTAGCAGACAGATTTTATTGTAAATTTGAAGTTACCCTGGTAAGTCACGTGACTACAGTGAGCTTTCGGCGGCCAAATAACACACACGATGTGTCAGAAGAAACTATTCGCATTTCAGTTGGATTTATTCAGTTTTGGCCTTCATTTTATGTTAATGTAAATTTGTAGTAACGCACCTGAGGAGATACAACAAAATATGCCTGGCAATAAATTGTGCAATGTTTTCTCCGTGTCCAAATTATTTAAATTCATTACTGGAAAACATTATTTTGAATTAATTTTTTTTTCTCCACAAAATTGTTCAGCCATTTATCACTGTTACAATAAAAGCATTGTTGTCTTTAATAACTATTTAAGTAAAACTACTTCAGCCATTTATCCTTGTTTTTAAGAAACTTCTTCGGCCATTTTGTAATTATATCGGCAAAATCATTGTTTTGGGTCATTTATGACTACTTAAGCAAAATGTTTTAGCCATTTACAATGGTTTTAACAAAATAATTGTCACTATTTGTCACTTTTAACACAATTATTTTTGCAGTTTATCACTGTTTTAATAAAATCTTCTTATTCTTTGCATTCACCGACTGTAAAGTCTGGTGGAAAGTTCTGGTTGTTCATCCACTTCTCGACTTGAGCCTTGTTCCAGAACTTGAGTTTTATTTGTACATTCATTAAACAGATCTGGTTTATTTGTATGCAGACTGTTGGTTCCTTGCTTATCAGGCAGATGCATTCCAATTTAGAATGAAACACCACTAATTAGTTGACTTTTACAACATGCTTCATAAGGAGGCAGTGGGGTCTATAATTTGTTTTTCCTCCCACATTGGGGCCCTTGAACTCACATGGGCACAAACAAATTATTTAGCTGTTCATCACTTTCAGTAAAATTATTTATCCATTTATCGCTGTTAAAATTTTGTTTTAGCCATTTACCATTGTTTCAACAAAATTGTTTAGCCATTTATCACTGTTTAAATTGTTTTTAGTAATTTGCCATTGTTTCATTAAAATTATTTAACCATTTACCTCTGTATCAACAAACATATTTCAGCCATTTGTCACAAGCCATTGCTGCTTATAGAAACAAATCATCGGTCTGGGAGTATGCAGTGTCAACCAGCTTAGGAGTTGGAGTCTTGAACCTGGGACACAATCTGAAACACTGTGCCAGGATGTCCCTTTTTGGTGCTGTAGTTGGGTTTGTATACGTTCTTCTTATTCTCCTCCTCCTCCTACTGCTTCTGCTGCTTTAATATTTTCTTCTTCACTTCCTATACCTGCTATGTTGAATAAAGAATCAACATCACATCACTCGGGACACCCCCTTAAGCGCTCTGTCCCCCATCTTCAACAGCAAGGGAAAAGTTAAAATTCTGCTGGTACCAGTAACTGTCTGATAGTATATCTGTCTCACCTTTCCCCTGAGTGTCGAGCGTCGGCCAGATCCCCTTGTGTCATTCTTCTCAGACAGTAATGATTTGTTTGTGCCTCGGCACTGTTCACTCGCTCCCAAAGGACCCTCACAACATCCAGCTTGCCATACATCAGTTCACTACCAAATGGTGCAGAACCGGCCAGTCTCTCTGCCTGCTCACTTCCTACACCTGCTGTAGGTGTCAAGGAAGCTGCAAGCTTCTAGTTCTTGCTTGTTCTGGCTGCCTCAATTATAGACACTTGATTCTATTGTAAAGTTTTGCTGTTGTTACTTTTCCATCATGTTTTTGGTCTACCTTGAGCTCTGAACCTCTGAGCTCTGTATGTTGCTTAGTATGGGGTCCAGCATTGTGGAATCTCAGCATGGACGAGTGAGGAGCTACCAGACAGGAGGAGCCCTTGACTTTCAGTTTTATCTCTAGCAGTCTGTAGTACAATTATAAAGCGGCAGAGTACAAACACATCTCTGTGTAGTAGGAATTCTTTCCCTGGAGACATTGGGAAGAGTAGTACAGGATTTGCTTCGAAGAGAACACCATGTGCCTGTAGAAGAAGGTACACAGATGTATAAGATAGTTGAGTAGATTCCTTCAAAGTTGGAGTGCATCTCTTGAAAGGTAGGGAACCAACAGTCTGCATACAAATAAGCAAGATCAGTAAAAGGGATGTGCATGCAGAACTTCTGGAACAAGACAAGTCCAGAAGTGGATAAACAACCAAAATTGTCTGTCAGAGTTCACAGCTGGTGAATGTGAAGCAGAAGAAAAGTTGAGTCGAAGCTGTATAAGTGCACATATGTTGTGAGTGAGGAATTTGTCTGAAAAATATGTGGGTGTATCCCTGACCTTCATGAAAATAACACATCCATATCACCGCAAAATGCAAAAAAAAAAATACCAAGACAGGTGTTTAGACACATCCCATTTAAAAATCAGAAAGCACTGGGAATATTCCATAAGGTTGACCCGCATCCCCCAAAATCTAAGAAGGTTAACCCAGGCAACAAATGCCTTCAGAAGTAGGATGTGTTGGCAGAAAGGTGCAAATATCACAGCTTTGTTGTAAACAGGCGCAAGACATTTACCTCTTGGGATGAACACAGAAGAAAAAGATCCCCAAGAAATGAAAGAAAATAATTTTTTTTCCTTCTTCTGTCAGCTTGCCAGTCAGCTGATTAACAAAACATTGTACTTGAATACCAGTTTTCTGTGCAGCTATCTTCACCTAATTACCAAAACTTTGTACTTAAATACCAGTTTTCTGTGCAGCTATCTTCACCTGATTACCAAAACATTGTACTTGAATACCAGTTTTCTATTAAACTGTCTTCATCTCTAATGCAACATGAAGAAGTCATCCTATGAAATGCATACAATCCTTTCAGCCCTAATTTTTTCCAGAAAATCGATTTGGATACCAAAAATACTTACTGCCTCCAATGAATAATACCTGGGCACTGACATCATTTACATTATAACTGAGACGTGCTTCATGTGTAGTAAATCAAAGAAACACTAGCCCAAAGAAAAGCATTCAGAGCCATTTTTTAACTGCAGGAGCATTATCAAGAAAGTGGGCCAAGACTTCCCTTGCTGGCGAACAGTTGACCTAATATTCATCTCCTCCTGTAGAAGGAGTGAATGTGTATCATACGTTGTTTGCTACATTTCATTCTTTCTAACAATGAAAAAGAGAAATGTTTGTTTGTTTTGTTTGTTTTAGTATCCAGAAGCCATGAGTTGTTAACCCTTAGGCTCGGTATTATGGATATTGCAACCTTTCGGCCTTGATTCCATTATTAATACCGTAAATCTGGGAGAAATGTGGCTTTCCTGCCTACCCCCGGGATTGAACCCGGACCACAAGGAGTTCGTCACTCGGTCTCCGCACAAACCGGTTTAGCCAACTACACTAGAGAGCCAGGCAAAAAAAGAAATAAATAAGTTATCTCAAGGAAAAGCTGACATTATCCTTTCTATAATTAGTGCTGATGATGTGTCTGTCAGAATTCTGACTGAGATGTTATTCTTAGTATAGAACAACAAATTCTCACTGCGTTCCATGACAGTGAGATGATGATGAATAAGTTTTTGTTATCTGTGAGATTATGGTAAACCTATAAGTTGTTAGTTATCTATGAGAGATAATAAGTTATTTATCAGTGAGATTATGGTAAACCTATAAGTTGTTAGTTATCTATGAGAGATGATGATCGATAAGTTATTTGTTATCTGTGAGATTATGCTAACCTATAAGTTGTTAGTTATCTATGAGAGATGATAAGTTATTTATTTATCTGTGAAATTATGGTTAACCTGTAAGTTGTTAGTTATCTATGAGAGATGATAAGTTATTTATTTATCTGTGAAATTATGGTTAACCTGTAAGTTGTTAGTTATCTATGAGAGATGATAAGTTATTTATTTATCTGTGAAATTATGGTTAACCTGTAAGTTGTTAGTTATCTGTAAGAGATGATGATACTTAAAATACTGATGTTTATATATAGGATAGATGAGATTTGCAGTTTCATGGGGATCTGTGAGTTGGTGAGATGATGTTAGTGTAAAGTAAAAAATGGTAATCTGTAATGTGGTGGCGACAGACATGTAAAAAAGTCGATTAATTAGGATGTTTCCTTTGAAGTTGAAGTGTGTCTGTCTGAGAGATAAGGAACCAACAGTCTGCATACAAATAAGCAATATGTAAAATGGATGGAGTTTATAGCCACTGAACTTGAAGAAGGTTGTTGATGATGAAGACACTGATGTTTTACTGTTGCCCCTAAGGAATAAAGAATAATAACACTTACCTAAAACACATCTCCTAAGAACCAACTAAGGATGGTTGTTGAGAGAAACGGTGTACCTCAACCCTTAGTAAACTTTGACCTGCAAAATCCAACCAGTCATGAGCAAGCTTAAAAGGACTTGATATGACTTGGTTGAGAGCCTGTGTTCTATTGGGAACTGAAAGGTAACAGCAGCAGAAGAATAATGTACCTAATGGATATGGCCACAGTAGTGTAATTGCTGGCAGGTTGTCTCCCATGTCAGACAAATCAGGAAGGCCCACCCAAAGAAATTATCTAGACTGCACATACAGGGACATGCTGAAGGGAAAGGAAATTAAAGAGGTGACAGACTGGCCGTGTCTGCAGTGGTTTGTGGAAGAAGCAGTCTGGACAGGGTATACATATTCAGTATGCTATGGTCCAGAGATGTTGAGACAAAGGAGTCAAGAGACAATAAACCGCCTCTTGAAAATGGATATTCCAGCAGACGACAGCTATTCACCACATATTGCTTCATGATTGACTGAAGCACATTTATTCATGATGTTGTGTGTTATGTTTTCACATTTGTTCTACATACAAATTGCAATGAGACTACAAATACCCTGTATATTCTAATACCTTGTATGTTTACATTTCAGAACTGTAGGAGGGTACGTTGTTTGCCAGTTCTTAGACGGAAGTGGCGTGAACCAAGAGCAGAAATATTTAGGCTGGCTAAGGCATCAGTGGCGGGAGCAGAAGCACATGAAGCAGACATTTGAATAATTTCAAGGCTTTTGGTTAGGTATGCTTTGCTGACTGACTTAGTCATCTGACAGGAATGTCCTGATACTAGTTACTACAGAAAGATAATGCAGAAGAATGAGAAGACCATGCCATCAATGGACAGCCTTTAAAAAAATTGTAGACTTATGCAGCTCACTAACAAAGAACACAAAGAAGACCCTTGCATCTTCCTGCAATGTGCTGTGCTAGGGGTTTGATTCTATACCCCACATTGCTATATTGACGTACCCATAGTTGCTAGGACACACCAGAAGATGAATGTTCAGTTATAAAGCTTTATTCGCTGATACAAACATCTCACTGACAGCGCATTCTTTCATCCTCGTGGTTGCTATGCATGGCTGATTTCTGATGACCTGGCCAACTCTCTTGCATGCTGATTCGCTCCGTTTGTATCTCTTGGATCACACATCAACATCATACTAACCCATTGTACCTGGTATTAGTATATGTTGAAACTGGCAATCAGGAAAACATTCATCTCTGCCCTCGAACAATTATATGTGGTCACAAGTTCTCCATTCTCATCAGGTGTTCTCTTATATACGACCGCATACAACCAGGTCCGAACTTCAAATGTCTTACTACCCTCTCTCGGTTCACGTCTTCCGTTCCAGTCTCACGCTTTTCTTATATCCCTTATTCGCTCACCACGGGACACTCGAAACCCGCTTATCTCGTTTTCCTCTTGTATTACTGGTCCTCTGACCTTGTCCTTCCCATCGGGAACTCTCTGGGACTTCCCCGGGAGTCCACAACATTACACTCCCTCCCTACACTTTGATGAGGTAACTGGTGAAAGAGAAGACAAAGAAGAAAATGCTTTGCCAATCCAACAGACAAGGGACTAAGTGCACAGTTAATAAAGAAAAACTGTCAAAAAGCAAATCCTACTGTTTGTTTACTTGAAATTATGCCTTTATTTAAAATATGTAAAAATGTGTTTTTAACCATCAAAATACATAAATAACACAAATAAAGCACCACGATAATCCCCCAAAACTAGGTCAGAATTACAGGCAAATAAAATTCTAAATAAAAACAAAATAACACAGTTCACTAATAAACTTGTTAGAAATTATTTTATCAACATTTAAATTTGTTATCAAATAGTGCAAAGATATAATAAGGGAGCAATCAACAAACATGAACTGGCTGAAGTATTAAGTGGAGTGCATTCCCGAAGTCTTAAAAAATACACATATGTTTTCTGCTGTGAACCCATGACCTCTACCTCTGAGGCACATGGACAATTTGAAGTCAACTTGGCTATTTAAAAAGCTATTTGGCTCAGACGACCCCCCCCCCCCCCCATCCCCATACTACTGTTTCTGTCATAATAACAACCCAAATAAAAGCAAAATGTTAAATAATATGAAATTACATATTGGTAATATAAAGTTATCAGGAATGAGGTCATACAAGATAAAGGTGGTACAGAACCAATTATAAATTACCTACAAGGACAGCAAATCAAACGAGCGAGGAAATTTGGATGAAAACTATTCTGATAACTTACATCAGAGTGAGGTTTGATCGCAGCCTATCATTCAAAGAACACGTTCACCATGTTATAACAAAAGCACGCAAAGGCCTGTCAGCAATGAGGGTCCTGGCCACCGCTAACACTGAGCAGAGACTGCTTCTGTTTCTGTTCCAGGGACTTGTACTTTCTCCCATCGAATATGCTCTAGCCATCCTCACTGTCAGCCAGACTCAGACTGAAAGACTTGAGCATGTGCAAAACGAAGCAATGCGCATTATTCTGGAGTCACCTCTTGTGTAGCAATGCGGTACCTTCCTGACTTCCCTACCAGGAACAACTACAGGATCAAGATCTGTAGGGCTCGTGCATACCTCAAGATAAGCTCAGATCCGAGGAACCCTTTGCACCACATGCTCTTCAAGAAAAATATCAATAAGCTTAAGAGAGGCAAATCATGGCTGGATAGGGCAGAGAATGACTTCATGCAGGTTTGCAGCCTTACAGATATCCATCCAGGTGAGAAATATGGATACCAGCGTCTAAAGCGCCTAATCTCACATTCTCCTGTGTCGTGACGCTCGATATAAGTTGTCGGGAGCAGAATCCAGCTGCTGTCAATGCCGAGGTATGTGCGTTTATCAGTGAAAAGTCATATGAGACAGATGTGGTGATCTTCACTGACGGGTCCGTTGTACGAGGACATAAGAGTGCATGGGCATTTACAGCTGGCTCTTCAGGCAGAGAGTTTGAGAAGCCAGCGTTTTTTTCTCCATGACTACCAGCAGCATGAAGATGGAGGTGATGACGGTGACTCAAGCTTTCATGTGGCTACAATCACAGGACTATTCCCGCGTGTGTGTGCTGAGTGATTCTTTGAGCATGATCCAGCGGGTCGAGGCATGCTGGTTACGCAGACAATGGTTTGAGTCATTGCAAAACTCTCCTGTGTGTGCAGTTACCTTCATATTCGTCCCAGGTCATGCAGGCGTTGTTGGTAATGAAAAAGCTCATGGACTGGCAGGTGCTGCATTAACTGAAGATGGTCGGCCCATGGATTACGCACACATTGTCATTGCCCTTAGGGGGATATGACGTTCTGGGGATTTTGGAAGCAAAGTGCCCACATCACTGCTAAAAAATACGAGAATTGGGAGTAAAGATCGGCACGGCCAAGCATGAGAAGCACACCGGGCACACAGGAAGTCTTGTTAACCAACACAAGACTGGCCCTATTAACTGCGCGACTCTAATGAATATGTTGAGAGGGGAATCTGAGCGCCTATGGATGTGTCTGGAGTGCTGTGAAGATAATCTAACTCATAAATCAAACGATTCGCCCCCTTGGAGAGAATGCCTTCTTATGCTATCCCATACAAGGCATATCCAAAAAAAAGGAGAGTGGCGTAAAGCAAGAGGTAACCCAAGAACAATATGGAAAGATAACATCAGAGAAACTCTACAACACCTCGATGTGTCTTTGGTCGAAGTAGCCAGAAGAGCACGAAGCAGGACCTTATATCTTCCTCGACACCCGGAGCAGGACCTTATATCTCCCTCGACACCCGGAGCAGGACCTTATATCTCCCTCGACACCCGGAGCAGGACCTTATATCTCCCTCGACACCCGGAGCAGGACCTTATATCTCCCTCGACACCTCAAGCAGGACCTTATATCTCCCTCGACACCCGGAGCAGGACCTTATATCTCCCTCGACACCCGGAGCAGGACCTTATATCTCCCTCGACACCCGGAGCAGGACCTTATATCTCCCTCGACACCTCAAGCAGGACCTTATATCTTCCTCGACACCCGGAGCAGGACCTTATATCTCCTTTGATACCCGGAGCAGGACCTTATATCTCCCTCGACACCCAGAGCAGGACCTTATATCTCCTTCGACACCCGGAGCAGGACCTTATATCTCCCTCGACACCCGGAGCTGTAAAAGAGGACGTAAAGAAGGAGAATATAAATAATTCCCTGACATATAAATTAAAAATAACAAGAATCTGCTCTGAGAACTCAATTAACAACACTATTGATTGATGTGCACCTTTCCGTCTTTCCAGACGATAGTGTTATATTGCGCTATGAGGAGGCATGGGACTCACAGCCCATGGCGATGGCGAGTGTGACTAGCAAGACCCGCCCGTATCAAGAAAAGTCCTCCCTTCCTGATATGCCCTTTCCACACAACACGGTCCATGGCATTTTATTCCCATGAGTCCACCTCAATACCTGTATCATTCATGTCCCACTTGCCCACAACTTTATAACGTAGTAGAGGTCGGCCTCGACATTTTCTTCCTGTCTTTAATTCACCATAAAGGGACTCTGCCATTCTCCATTCTCCAGGTGTGACCCAGCCACCTGAGCCTTCGTAGACTGAGCATGGAAAAGACTGTTGTAGTACCTGCTCTTTCCAATACCTCAGTATATGTGATTTTGTCCTGCCACTTAATGCCAAGTATTCTTCTTAGGCATCGCATGTGAAAGCTATTTAGCCGTCTCTCCTGGTGCAAATAGGTTGACCAAGTTTCACTGCCATAAAGCAGAGTTCTGAGAACACAAGCCTGATAGACAAGGGGTTTTGTTTTAATTGTGAGCTTTCTGTTCTCCCAAACTCTCTTTGTCAGTCTGCTCATTGTTGTTGCTGCCTTACCTATCCTAATGTTGATTTCTTGGTCCAGCGATAGTTTACTATTCACTGTTGAACCCAGATAGGTAAAATGGTCTACTGTCTCAAACCCTTCACAACATTATATATCTCACAAATAACCATGAGGGTTGAAAGGGATATTTTTGAAAAAAAGATAGAAACGACTTAGATGTGAGCTGCACACTATTGCAAAGCATGGGACGACTTGTCATGAGTTGGTCAAAGTCTTATTGCCATAAATAGAGAAGAAATCAGTAAGTAATCGACAGTTTTGAAGTCTTTGCTGACTTATCCCTTTATGGTACAGAAGAAGCATGAGCAGTAACATTAACAAGCACTGATCCACATTCATAGAAGTCCCACAAACTAAAAAAAAAAAAAAAAGAAAAAGAAAAGAGGCATTCTTTTTATCACCCGTCCTTTTCCTTAGGAACTATAAAATGCTAGAAAATCCCCCAACGCCTTACAAGTATAGAATAAATAAATTAATAGCTATTGATTACCGCCTGTTATCCTTTTCCCCAGTTGCATCATGCCTGTTTCCCCCCAACAAAGAAGCCAAGGCCTGAACCAATCCGCTGTGTGGCTTGCAAACTTTCTCCTTATCTGGCGTGTCTTCTAATTCTACTTCCGTCCCTTTTCACAAGTGTCAATCAATGAGTATTAATTTATCAATCTAGCACGCCGCCCTACATACATGGCGTTTCCAGTTTTAAAAATTTAAGTCTAGAAATGTCTTCATTAACAGTTGCCAGAACGAGTGTGTGCTTGCGTGTAGGTTAGCCCCATAGCTAGGTCTATACAATGTGTTTGTTAGTCTGTAGCCTTTATGA